GTGATTTTAAATTTAAATAGAGTGTTTTGGTAAGAGTAAACATACAATACACTTCACTGTTTAAAACTCCAGTATCTGGCTTCTATGATAATTTTAATTGAAATTCACCATTTTGTAGTACTAATGCTTTTACAATATGTTTAATATGAACTTGATTTCCTCTATAAATTTTATCCAATTCTTTGGATCAGTACATGTAAAAATCTGTAATGTAATAGAGGAATTACTCAGCAAGGAAATACTTAAATACACTGATGTTGATAAGTGTAAGGAACTGAATAATAAAAAGCAAATAAACATTGTTTATTACATTTCAGAGTTTTCACTCAGGTAGTTAGATAATTAGTTCAATTGAGTATCTCACTGAAATGCAGCCACTAGTAACTGCATATCTGTGATAATGATTAGGGCAGGGCCGACTTATCCATTAGGCACAGTAGGCATAGTGTCCAGGGCCCAAGGATACTTTTAGGGGCCCACGAAAATGTTTTAATTTCTTTTAAAATCAGAAGGAAAAAAATGAACTTTTAGGGCCCACGAAAATCTATTAAATTTTGCCTAAAACAGAAAAAAAAAGTTGAAGTATTTAAAGTTATATCAAAAATAATTTTTAATATTGATATTGTTATGGTGGGAGGGGCCCACGAAGGCAAAAGTGCCTAGGGCCCACAAAAGTCATAATGGGGCCCTGGATTAGGGGCATAGGCCCCTTGCATGTCAGCAGTCTGAATCATTAGATGCCCAACTGCTTCTGGACATTCTTTCTAACACAGACATTGCCACTTTTACCTGTCTTTGGGATCTTGTAGCTGGATTTCTGCAATGTGTTTTAAATTGAACTGAATTTTAGATAATGAGGAAAATGCTGCAAATGCAAACAATGGTTATCTGCTTTTTCAGAGAGACAATACAATATTAAAAATCACACTCTGGTTTGAAAAAGTTTTATCTACTATACAGTTTTTACAATAAACACCTAATGATGACTACTCACTAAAAGTCATTTTAAAAAGAATATTTTTCTAGCTTTCTTTTCAGTTTGTTGAACAGCTTTTTCCACATAGGTTCCTTTGTTTGTGTTGGTCTTTTACACAAGGGGGAGGGGGAGAGAGAGAGAGAGAAAGAGAGAGACACACACACACACACTCTAAAAAAAAAAAAAAGGAAATGTGTATTGCATAGTCCTGATTGTTTGTTTGCCATTGGAGTCACTTGAGTATGAGTAATTTTACCAGATGTGCCATACTTAGCATAGGCAATATGGTCACCCTAGCTCTGAGTTACTACAGATAATTATTTCCCAGGTTTTTGACTAGTGAGTGTTGCCAAAATATCATTGTTTGATTAACCCCATATTTGGGATTGGGAAAGAATTTTCAATGGGCCAGATTTGCAGAGACCTTGGGGATTGGGTGGGCAAGGTTGCCTTCCTTTGCGGCATGGGGCATGGGTCACTTGCTGGTTTCAACTTGTGTAAATGGTGGATTCTTCATAACGTGGCATCTTTAAATCACGATTTGAGGACTTCAGTTACTCAGCCAGAAACTGGGGGTCTATTGTAGAGTAAGGAGGATACACGTACTTCTGGAAGGGAAAATCTTTAGATTAACCTCAATTGTATTGAGTAGACTTTGCTATTAAGGGCAAGCTCGTAAGGTGCCTCTCTGAGCTGCCAGTAGGTGCCTCTCTGAGCTGCCATCAATGAATGGCTTATGACACTCCGAATGAGGCTCACCAAAAACCAACAGGTAACTATTGTGGGTGCTTATGTGCCAACAATGGACGCCGATGAAGATGTAAAGGAAGATTTCTACTCTCAGCTGGAAACCATTTTATCAGAACTTGTGGTTCAAGGATCAGCCTTATCAGCCACCTGAGGGTCCATAACTCCCATGGAAGATGATCATACTCGGCAATGAGTGATCACCCATCATCATCATTACAGAATTGGATGGATGTTGTTCTGTGGCCTGCAATGTCCAGGAAGTCAAACCAGATGATCATGATGGTCCCTAATGTTCTTAAAGTCTGAGTCAGTGAAACTTCCTTTTGACTTCCTCTTAAACTCCTGATCTCAGCTCTAGCCCCTGACTCTGAGTACTGGTCTCTGACTGCCACTGCTTTGACTCCTATGCATGACTGCTAAAGCTATGAGTCTAGGGCGTGGCTACACTGCAGGGCTTAGCTCAAAATAAGCTACACAAATTGAGCTACATCAATTGCATATCTTATTTAGAAATAGCTTATTTCTACACTGCACTTATTTTAAAATAAAGCACTCTTCCTCCAACTTTCCTTATTCCTCATACAATGAGGCTGTGTCTAGACTGGCCAGTTTTTCCGGAAAATCAGCCGCTTTTCCAGAAAAACTTGCCAGCTGTCTACACTGGCCGCTTGAATTTCCACAAAAGCACTGACGATCTCATGTAAGATTGTCAGTGTTTTTGTGGAAATACTATGCTGCTCCCATTCAGGCAAAAGTCCTTTTGCGCAAAACTTTTGCACAAAAGGGCCAGTGTAGACAGCTCAGCTTTGTTTTCCACAAAATAGCCCCGATTGTGAAAATGGCGATTGGGGCTTTTTTGCGGAAAAGCGCGTCTAGATTGGCACGGACGCTTTTCCACAAAAAGTGCTTTTGCAGAAAAGCATCTGTGCCAATCTAGACGCTCTTTTCCGAAAATGCTTTTAACGGAAAACTTTTCCGTTAAAAGGATTTCCGGAAAATCATGCCAGTCTAGACGTAGTCGCAGGGTTATAGAAGTCGGTGTAAGAAGTCCTCCAGGTTGACAGTATTTTGACACTATTTCAAAATAACTGCCTGCTGTGGAGACACCGACTAAGTTATTTTGGAATAGCGCTTGTTGTTTCCAAATAATGTTGCAGTGTAGATGTACCCTAAGAGGGCTTTATTTGGGGAAGGGTGGTATTGTTATGCCAACAGAAAAACTCTTGGGTGTGTCAGATGCCTATAAGCTAGGGGGCTATGCTGACACAGCTATTTCAACACAGGCTCTGTAGTGTAGATGCACTCCTCATGTCCAGGAATTTGGAAATATACTGTTCTCAGGACTTTCAGGGTTTGGTTTGTTAGCCTCTTTGCCTCATTCTGGGGGGCTGTCCCTGGTGTGTCTCTAGCAGTCTGCTGACTGGAGTTCCTTTCTCCTGCCTGCTCACTCCTTTTTAGCAGCCCTACCAGTCTGCTTTCCAGGCTTTTGAGCCTCCCAGCTGCTGTTAACTTGCCAATCAGGAGTGGCTGTTAGTGCCTGCATTAATTCTTTGGTGTCTGACCTAGTGTGCAGGAACATACACCCAATGGCAGATTCCCTTTGAAACTCCTCCTCCAGCTGAAGCAGGTTCTTCAGGAGCAGTAGGGCTGGATCCCAGCAGGTCAGGACAGCTTTCTAACCCCTCCTGACCCAGTGTGGGGTTGGTTCTACAGCCCATCAGAGGTACCCTAATAGGTGCAACCCTGCAAAGCCTTGGGCACCTGATGATGGGATTAGATGGATTGGAGCTGGCACATCCCCAGGGACATGATGTCCTCCTGTCTCAAGAGAACAAAGGCATGTCAGACTTGGATGCCCCTAGGAATCAGGGAGGATTCATGTCAATTGGTAACCTAGGAGGGAATCATCTTCCTCTCTAGTGACCTCCAGTGCCAGACCCCTCCCACACAATTGTAGGAGGAGCTCCTACCTCCATTCCCCCTGTCTCCCTATGACAGCAGTTCCTTAGCAGCTTCTCGTTGTAAGATTTCTCTGGTTTTGGTGGCCAATCTCAGAGGATTTGGTGAGTTTCAGCAGGGCTCACATTACCCACTGGGAGCCAGACTCAGATGGGAGGAGTATCATTTCTTCAGGGGTCCCACTGCCTGTCTTCTCTCAGTGTCACTTTTCTATTGGGTCCCATTTCCCAGCTGGATTTCCTTACTTCTTACATAGCAGCAGTTATTAAGAGCCAGTAATTCCCAACACCCCCCACAACCTCCTTGGCCAACTGGCTGATTTCCTTGGTTCTTACGGATGGACAATCACAGATAAGACACCAAGTTCCCTAGTTTTGGGGAACTGTGCTGAGTTCTAATGGAAGGGAAAGACAGGAGCTCCATCAGCATTCTACTGTCAGCTGACAGTCTCCCCTGGGCCAGGAATCTTTCTCTCCCAAGTCCCTCTGCTGGAGACATTGGGGGAGAGGAGCTGGAGCTAAACACTCAGCTCCTTCTACCTCCAAGGGATCCTGGAGCAAAGGGATGTGAGCAGGGCCTTCCATGAGGACTTGCATCCCCAGCTGCTCCAGGATGGAACCCAAGGGATCCAAGAAGGGACCCAAGGCCAGGCATGAACCTGGCTGGAGCAGGGGTTAGACCATGGTCCCCTTAAAGTCTCAGAATCTCCACTGAACCATGAGAAGATGAACTTGCCTCAAGTCTCATTCCCTTTTCTGACTCTGCCTTCTTAAGGGGAACACTCCTATTTGTGGCTGGGAAACGCACGTCTGGGGAAGGCAAGGCCCCAGCCCCACCTCCAGCCCCACCCCTTCTTCTGAGGCCCCCACCTCTCCTTTGCCCCCATGGGAAGTCAGGGCAGCACTCCATGAGTGTGCTCCCCCTCCCAACTATGGGGAGAGGAAGGGGAGCAGGCAGGTGCCTGGCATGGCTCTGGCATAGCCCCAGCCTCCCCAGCCCCAGAGAGGGAGGAAGGCACGTGGCATGGCCCCAGCCTCCCCAGCCCCAGAGAGGGAGGAAGGCACGTGGCATGGCCCCAGCCTCCCCAGCCCCAGAGGAGGTCAGAGGACGCGTGGCATGGACCCAGCCTCCCCAGCTCCAGAGGAGGATGGCGCCACATGACCTGGCCCATCCCTGCCTCTCCAGCCCTGGAGCATAGGGAGGGCAGGCTCTGGGGGCAGCAACACTCTGCCCAGAATGCCTTCTGCAGGCGCTCTGGGGGCAGAGTGTGGGCGGGACTATGCCTGCAGTTTGGGAAGGCAGAGC